GGAGCAAATAGTAAAGACTAAAAAATAACTAGCAGCATATGCTTTAATAATAAGTGAAAATGTTTTGCACTTTTTTTGGTTCAAACACATTCCTTAGTGCTTTTTAATTCTAAAAGCATTTAAGACTGTCCTCTTTTTGCCAAAGTTTGATCCTGTCCAGTTTTTCAGATCGATCTAGCATTTACATTTTCTATACTCTATGACTAAATAAGTTATAATAATAGTAATTTATATGTAGTAAGTTCCATATTAAAATTACCATAAGGTACTATGCAAGTCAGGTTATGACTAATCAACTGAACAATCATTAAGGATATATTGTCAATCATTCTTCTTGCACCATCTTATGACATCCCTCATAGCTCACAAGAAACTTTTCCCTCCAATTAGAAACCTCCAAGTGTAATTATACGTATCATGTATCAGCTGCAGAGGTATCTTTTTCAGACAACCTGACATGGGAAGGAAGGGTGAGACAAACACTTATTCAAAATAATTTATTATAATCACTCAGTTGACTTCTAATCTTGCTTTACAAATAGGCTATGACCCAAATTAGAAAATAGTTTGTATGCTACCAAACAATCAATTTGCAAAGTTAATATTTTTTTAAACTGAAAATGTATTTCCAATAGACACCTCCTCTCACAAAAAGCTTTTCTTAATTCACACTGCCCTCTATCGGTGCAAATTTTTGCTCGCCATCAGCCTTGATACTCCCACTTACCCTCACATATGTTATCATGATATACTTGCATAATAACATGTAAATGATTATGCAGCAACCCTCCACCTCCAGGAGTGTGATACTACCCCTATCGTAACTAGCATTCTCTCTAATCTTGCAGATCAAACCAAACTAGAAGTGGGGAGGGCAGGTGGGAAATGTGAGAGAAGGTAAGTATCTACCGAAAATACATTTTCAGTTTAGGAAAACGTTAACTTCCGATACGATAGCTTACCTCCTCTCACAAAAAGCTAGAATCCCACATTAAACAGGTGTAGGGCCAGTGAGAAGATGATTTCCCTTCAGAAAGCACCCAAAGGAAAATCATGGAGTGTGAGAATGAACTAAAAACAACCAGGTATACTCTTCACCCATCAGTAATGTATCGACAAAAGGGCAGAAACAAAAAAGGTACCCTATTAAAAATTACAGAAATAAAGGGACCCCTTGGTGTAGGGTGGCTAGGGCACGACAGACCATAAATGGGAATTTGACCTCACCTTGGTAGCATCTGGAATTGTACATCAGGTCCACAGTAGGAAGAGGATCTTCTACCTTTCACCTCAAAAATGGGGACCACCAGGGGAGAGAAACTTCCATACCAGGAACCCACCTCCACATGCATGCACCACCAACACCAGCATCTGGAGGACAGTATGACGGTAGAGATCCCAGGTGGGTGTACATTTCACATCCAAAAATGACAGAATTGAGAATTTATCATCCAGTCCACAGTAGGAGGAGGGGTAACCATCCAAACACATGTGAAGACTTATATGGCTGGCATAGCTACAACCAACACCAGAACCACCAGAAACTGGCATCTGGTGAACAGTAGGAAGGAAGGTGCCTCAGCTGGAGGAGCAAACTGCAATATACAGCAGAGTGCTACATCCAACACCTGGCAGCACCTGGAATTGTACATCAGATCCATGGTAGGAAGGGCATCACGCAATCTATATCAGCAGAATGCCACCACCCTTATTCCATCTTAGAGGTATTATGCACTCTCGAGAGGACAGGCCTCCATGGTCCACCACCCCACAGGCTAGGAACTGGTAAGTGAGTAAGTGATAGAAAGAGTCTCAATGCCATGAATCATCAGAGATGGGAAGTAATCTCTATCTGCTTTACTCATGTTAGTCTATGAGTGTACAGTCTGGGATGAACATATTTATGAAGCAAAATACTGCAAGGTATACCTAATAGTGGTCTTGTGGAACACCCCATCTCAACAGTGGGCATAATATCACCTGGTTATGTTATATTACATTGTATTTTGAAAAGCAGAGAGATCATGGTGAAGGAATTGTACATCAGGAAGAGCCTCAATGCCATAGATCATCTGAGATGTTATAAGAGCACAGGTTGCACAGTATACTTGGTTAGGCAACACTCACCACAGAGTGGGATCCAAACATGCAAGAAAGGCCCCTGCAATCAAAAGAAAATGAAAGGAGTACTTACCATTCACTGAGGAACAAAGGTGTAAAGGTATGCGGAGTAGTCCACATACAAGCACTGATGGAAATGTGCAGCCAGAGACATAGTAAGGTGATGGATCTGATGGGAAGAAACATGAAAAAAAGACAACAATTGTCAAGAGAAAGGGAAGAATATGCCAGGTGAATCAAATGGTGAATTCCACCTATAGGGGTAATAGGAGAAAGGTCACAGGAGAGATTAGGAGTCCAAGAAATAAACAAAAAAAATAGGAACAACAGAAGGGAGCAGTGCATGTCATATACCATTGGAGAGGCCTGGCCTTGCAAAGGAGGTGGTTAGGATCAGAATGGTGAGGAAGGTGGGATATGAAAGAAAGTAAAATGGGTGTGAATGTGGAATTACCCTCTCAAGCAGCCAAATTGTTTGGGTAGAAAGTAACGATGTGGAAATGTAGGAACTATGAAACAAAAATGTGGTGGATATCAATTGTGAATACAACTGAACTATAAGATCAATATGAACAAGAAAAAGTGGATTTCAAGGAAGATGATATAACGAACATGAAGGAGGATGGATAAGAGCATGCAGGCAAATATTGTGATTCCAATCAGGGAGTGAAGCAGGGCATGGAGGATGGGAAATGTGGATGGAATGAAACAATATGGACAAGACTGGTGACAGGAAAAACGAGCATAGCTGGAAGTCTAAAATGTGGCTGATAAAGCTGCCTGATAGCCCTCAACAGTGGAAATTGAAACATCTCTGTCAAAAAGCCAAGTTAAAAATGGGTGTGATGAGAGGACCATTAGGATGGGAAAGATCATAACCACATTGGACAAACCAATAGCAGTATGTGTACCACTTACGTTGGTAAACTGTCTTGCAGGAAAGATGGTCAGGACGAGAAGGTAAGGAAACTCACACAATGCAAAAGTCAGGCACTTCTGGTGAGGGTCTGGAAAAAAGCCATGCATTAAGATGAAGTGTGGGAATGGATGTATGACACACACCTGATTTGGGGCTGAAGGAAGAGTGTTGGAAATAAAGGATGAGGAAGTGGGGCAATGCCAAAAGCCAGCACAGCAGAGGAAACCATGTTTGAGCCAGCAAATATAGAGCCACTAATAGAAGATGACACGGAGTAGTCTGAATTATGGTAAGGAAATGTGGGAGGAGATTAATAGGAGGACATGCATATAGGTACTGACCCATCGAATCCAGTTGAGAGAATCTACTGTCTCAACCAGAGAATGAAGAACCAGAGACCAAAATTGGGAAGCTGTGTATGGAAATAAGAGGTAAATGTATCCAAACCTGGGACACCCTACTGAGCACACAGCATCCTAAAATCTTGAGAATCCAAAACCACTCCATAGGTAGAATCTTGTCAGGACAAGATAAAGGACATCTGGAAGAAGACAAGCCAATAAAGTTAGGTGATGGCTGTGAGCACAATATAGGTGATCCAAACCACTCCATATGTAGAATCTTGTCAGGACAGGATAACTAATCCATGACAAGATACAGAGCATTTGGAAGAAGACAAGGCAAAAAAGTTAGGTGATGGCTGTGAGCCCAATATAAGAGATCCAACGTTTGAAAACAGAGTTCTCTCAACCAAGTGTCCCTAGCCTGGAGATGTACGAGACTACTGTAGAATTGTTGGAGTGTATCATCACCAATTGGCCCCCAAAGAGCCCATAGGAAATGAATTCTCAATGAACCAGAAGGAGATCCAATACTGATATGGTGAGAGGACTCATAAAGAGTCCATCTACCCAAAACCCCCCAAGTATCGAGGTATGCCTCCAACTGGAAAAAAAAACATCCGTAAAAAAGTGACATTCAGGATGAGGAACACCCACATTAGTGCTGTCCCAATCCAAGCACCAGATGGAGTCAATCTGGAAGAAAGGGAGAATGGTGAGAGGGGTATCTAAGGGATTCTGAACAAGACTCTCTTAGTCAAACAAAACCCACTGAGGATGATGAATCTGAGCATAATCAAGAGGAATGAAAAGAAGGCCACATCACCAAAAGAGAGAGAATCTCTCATGCAGTTTGAAAAGGAAAGGAGGAGATGCTGCATACAAGACATTCTATAGCCCTCAACTGAAGGGAAGAAGGGTGAGCCTAACTGATTATGGAGTTGAAAAACACCCCGAGAAATGAACCAAAATTTATTCAAGAGTATAAGAAAAGACTTTTCTACCATGACAAGCCAACCCACCCTGGCATCGTCCTAGAGAAGAAACTGAGAAAGTAGAGCAGATTCTTCATATAAGGAGGCCCAAAATAGCCAGTCGACCATATAATGGTGGAAACTAAAACCACCGCATGAATCAAACGGACAAATGCCCGAACAACCCGACAGAACCCATATGGTGTCAGTGCAAGTCAGAACACAAATGTCCAAAAGTTAAACACACACTTGATTAGCAAAGTGAAGATATGAACTAGATAAATGGAATATGGGGAGATGGAGGTATGCATCTACCATCATTGTCAAGAAACCAGAAATGAAACCTCAACAATGAGCTAAAGACGACTCCATGGTGAACTTGATAAGGACTAAGAAGCAGTTCAAAGACAATAAACTGATGATAGGGCACCAAACCCCAATCTTGTGGGGAACAACAAACACATGAGAAGAAAACCTAGGATGAGAAGGACCACCTCATGTGATATCACACACATGAAGTAAGTCCCCAACTGTCTGGCAAGAAATGGGATAATCTGAATGGAATTGGAGAACCAGACCCTCTGAAATGACTCTTAGAACCCAAGTATCCACAGCAAACTAGTTCCAAACATGGTTAAAGTGATGGAGTCTGGTCCCCAAGGGCCTTGACCCGAGAACATAGTCACCAATGTTGGATGTCCTGAAATAACACCTGAGAGTGTACCAATGGTGTATATTTGAGATGTAGTAATGACTGGTAATAGTGTGTTCACCTCGACTCCACTAAACAGACACTGGTTGCAGGAAGAAGAGTTGTGAGATATAGGTATTGAATGGATTGGTATAGTGAGTTGTATCATCAGTCCATATGAAGTTTGTGAAGTGGGATGTATCATAGATATAAACATCGGGTGACCTGCACTACCTCTCTGTGTAACTACATCCTCATTTCTCACCATAATGAGAACCCTTGTTTTAGCCTCAATGGCTCGGTCTCAATTAGCGAGGATTCTCCATGGTCCACCACCCCAGTAGCTATGAACTGGTAAGTAGCAAGAGTCTCCCATAATCCATTTGATGAGGGGGGAAGGAGAATTTGTGTAGGGGAGACCAGAGAATATGTTAAGATACCCATTGGTCCTTCAGTCCAAAAATGTTTTACTGGAGACAGTTCAATTGGTGACTGCAAAAGCCTATATTTAAAAGTCAGCAAGTCTGAGCCAGAGAAATGGGCAAAAACACTGCTCTGGTGCTGGCTTTTTCCATGATAATCTTTTAATAGGTATGGTCTGGATTGGACAAGAAATGTTATATAGGTAGAAAAATATATACCACATGGAAACCTTAAATGGTCTTGCAAAAAACCCCTTCTCACAGTGGGCACATCTACAGCCAAGGTGGATGGAATGAGCACTTTCTGTTATCCTGGCTCAATGCAAATTTTGGAAAAGTACACCCTGGAAGGCAATACTAGCCACCTAGTGAGATTCTACTAAATGAAAGAGGGTCCTGAAAAGAAAACGATGCACATTCTACTGAAAGACAGTGAAGTAATGGAAGAATGGCAACCTATGGAAGCCAAAAACCATCAGGAAATAAAACAGCCAGAAGGTTTGATTTGTTTGGAATTTCATGCAAGTCTGCATGAGGACTATCTGCACTAGACTATCTTAGCAATGATAGACTAAAATGAATGCAGCTAGTCAACACCACCTACCGCCAACTTTTAGGCTACTCTTTTACCAATGAATAGTGGGATAGACTGTCACATTATAATGCTCCCATGGCTAAAAGGGCGAGCATGTACAATGATGCAGATTTGAACCTGCGACCCACAAATTGTGAGTTGAGTGTTCTAACAACAAGGTCATGCCAGTCTCACAGCCAGAAGGTATGGAGATGGATGTGTGAAGACAGTCCACATGCCCACCTGGAAAAGCTTATCCAATGGGAGGCAAAGAAGAAGTGGAAAGGAATGAAACAGATGACGAATAGAACCTGAGCATCAACATTCAACATCCTGAGATGACCATGTCAACAGGGAAGTCATTGGAATCATCCAGGAAAGGAAATAGGAATGAGGTTCATGGAAAATGAGGTCCTAGGATAGAGACAGAAGAAAACAGGGACCCTTAAATAATAACAGGTCAATGATAAGGTACTCAGGAGGAGGGAGCAAGTTGGAGAGAAAGACAAAAAAAGGCAGAAAGGCAATAACTCGAATGGGGAATGGACGAGATCAAGCAAACCCCCAACAAGGTTTCAGTCAGGCAAGAAAGCAGATCAAGGAGGACAGAGGAGAGTGAAGTAGGGGAAAACAACAAAGAGGATAGGGTAAGAAAACACATCTTGGTACTGAGAAAGGAGAAAAACCATGGGCATAGAAAGGCTGAGACTGAAAATCCTTTGATGAGCAGACTGGAAAGAAAGGTAGAAAGGTGGTGCACAGAATTATTGACTGGAGGAAATGGATGGCAGAAGAACCAATGACAAAATATTGCAATTGATGTGATATACAAATACAGTGGAAGAATGAGAATAATGCCACAGTAGTGGAGAGTCTGGTCTAATGGGCAATAGCAAATTCCACACATGAGGGTGGAGGGAGGATAATTCTTAGTGAAGAAGGAAACTGAAAGACTGCAAACCATGAAAGCGAGAGGCTAATGGTGAGTAGAAGGGGGGTTGAATTAACAAGTGTATCAAGGCCAGTAACGTCAGATACGTCAACAAGAGGACTCAAGAAGGATGGTAGCGTGTACATCTGAAGTCCAAAAGGGGGTTGGTATAGAGAAACAGGTAAGACCAGGCCTGGATGATAAAAATGACAGCCAGATCTGAAGGAAGAGGAATAGAGTAATGTAACAGAGGAAGCCTGGAGTATAGAAGAGCGGCAAAGTGTCCAACCAAGAGTAAACCCCATGGAAACTATGGGGATGCAGATGCTACTCCATTGACAGAATAAGGACTGGCCAAGAGAAATGGCTCACCAACAAAAAGGAAGCTACCAGCAAAGGATATAAATGGCACAGAAGTATATAGTTAGCACCTGAGAACAAAAAAGCCCTGGAACAGGAGCCACAAAGGTGGTTGGAGCAAGGAAAGGGCATGGAAAAGATTGAGTAGAACATGACCAAGTGAACCGACAGTAGAAGCAGGAATGGGAAAATGCTTGACAAATAGAGAAGGTCAAGCACATTGATAAGGAGTGAACACTAGTCCAATGTAAAAAATGTTGGAAAACAAAAAAGTATCTCAATCTGAGAGAGAAGCATCAAAGAAGTAGTAGATCTGGTTTGAGAGATGTTAAGGGAATGTAGAAAGAAGGATGGGCAAGGTCTAATCACCCTGAAAATTCATAAAAATAGGCCCACAAAAAGAGGACAAAGGATCTCAAGAAAGAAATAAAACCCAGGGTCCACTATAAGAGATACACAAGGGCATGCTCCAAATGGAGGGGTTCTAGAAAGGCTAGAGTCCCCAAAAAGGGAAGGAACCTATCATACAGGGAGAGAATAAGAAGTGTAAATTCTGATGACCAAATAACTCAGTTCACAGGCCAAAAAGATAGGCTGAACTCAGTTGAGATGATAAAAAAAGGAAATTTCCAAAAGTAGCCGACACTTAGTGGGTGTAAGAAAGGATCCAAAACACAAGACAGGTTCCTCCCCTATCCAATCAAGCAGCTGCTATAAAAGGGCAGAGGTAGGATAACAGGAAACATTTGAGAATGGCTTAATACATATAAACAATCAAAGAAAGGAATGACAGCCACAGGTGGTGAATATGGCAAGTGAAGTCTCCCACAATAACAACAAATACAGAAAAGGATGAATGGGACACAAAATAATAATGAGAGAATGGGCCAAAAAACATGTAGGATGGTGTTCGACATAATGACCATGACTGACTGCAGACCAGATGAAAAAGACCATGGATGGGGTCAGAAGGAGAAGAAAGGGAAATGGGAAGAGGAGTGAGAAAAGAGACTAAGGTAGGGAATTAGAATATGACTGTCAGCAGAAAGAGAGATAGGTACATGCATAATCCTACGTGTGTAACATGTGTTTCACTGGTAAGATGAGTGGCAAACGAGACTACTGGTAGAGTTAAGATGATAAAAGGAGTATGGCCTGGAATCTGGAATGAAAAGTTGAGAAGGAGACTGATCTAGATGAGGAATATAAGTAAAGAGCAAGGTCGATAAAGGGGAAAACATATGGGAACAGAATGAGGACAGAAGTCGTATATTATCAGACAAGGTATCCATGGGGAAAAGAACACCAAAGACATCTGGTTAAAGAAAGAGAGCCAAATTAATAATACATACCAAAGAAGAGAGAAGGGGTACAGTAAAAAGGAATATAACCTGACAAAACAAGACCTAAGAGCAGGAGAACAAAGCACAAAGTGATAGAGCAGAACAAGTGTAACATGGTAAAACAGAGAAAGGAATGAATGACCATAGAAGCTTAAAATAGCCACAGATAAAAGGTGGGGTAGGAGAGGGAATACAGAAGGTAGAGAGAAAAATGCAAAAATAGGTAATTAAAAAGGGAAAAAGAAGGTAAGGGTATTGATCGTCAAGCTGGTCAAATAGAAATCAATGAGAGAGAGGGAACTGGGAAAAGGAAGGGAAGAATGTAGACAAATCTTAACAAAAGTGGCCATGAACATGAGGGGGGGGTATTTGTTATGAGAAAGGAAACAGAATAAATATTAATAACAAGCAAAGAGAAAAAACAAACTCAAGAATTGTGGGTCATAAAGTGATAAATGAAAACTAATAAACAACACAGACAAAAGAGAAAGAAATAAACATACCTGAGAATGAAATCCAGTAAGAGATGGAAAGGTTACAGTTGTTTAATGACTGGTTGAGTACCATCAAAGCAACGTAGGTGAAAGATGTAGTGTAATAGATCATTCCTGACTGAGGAGAAAGAGATTTGACAGTGGTTTAAGTCAAATTAGGTTGGAGTTTTCATAAGGCTAGTGGCATGCAAATCTCTTTGGTAGAATGCATGGAAGACAGCTAAATTGCGTGAGGAGGTGAGTATTCATTTTGGAACAAAGCTGTTTCAAACTATCCTTAATATAAGTTAAATATAAAACAAGAGACTATTTTATGAGCAAGACCTCACAAAGATGAAGAAATGACTGTCCTTTAAGGGATTTAGAATTTCTTGGATTTGAAAAGCTTGAAAAGTGAAAAGCATCTACAGAAGCAAAAACAAATCACCATCATTTGACCAAAAGCTGAATATGGCCAATAACAAACAAGTTGCCAAGGCCAACAGCTGTAAAGTCTAAAGTAAACATCAAAAAATTGATCAAAAGCTAGTTTAATAGCAACTGAATGCATAGCAGTAATCAGCTGCTAGAAATAAATCTGTAAACAATAAAAATTTGTTGAATTCAACTGAAACTATTTAAACAAAAACAACAGGCAGGCCAACACAAATAACTGCTTGTGAAACAACAACAAAAATTAAGAGTCCAAACATTCTTAAAACAAAAGCCAAACTCAACAGAAGTAGAAATATTAAATGATTTGACTAACAATATTCAAGTTTACGGAGAGGGGTTTAAAGAGCACCCCCACACCAAACTATTTTATTTACTGTTTTTGGGAGCAAAGCCTTTCAAATTTGTGGATTTTACCCTGCACAAAGTGATTAGTATTATTCTTTACCATTAATATTTTTGCACAAGAACAACTGTTGAAGATAATTCTAAATTATGAATTCCTTATTAGAAAACACACAAAGAATTGTGTCTGAGACATTTAATCATTGTAGTTGTGCAGTATTTGCTTCGATGTTTTCAATTTCTGTCTGCCTATCTATTAAAACAAAGAATATTATAAATACATATACAGCATTCTATTAACTTTTCTATATAAACTGACAGCCCTTCAACAGCACAGTATCACATATTAGAAAGATTTAAATAAGTATTTATATGCTCAATTAGAAATTCTCATGATTATAAATATTTACAAAATTATGAGAAGAAAACAATTAATGTTATAATTTTCCTATACTGAAAATGTATTTCCGATAGGTACATTACCTACACCCACAAGATTAGCTATTCTCATTCAGTGCTGTCCTCTATATGCAAACTTTTTCTTTACGCATGCCACAAGTCTTCCTCTCCCACTTATTGGAATTGCAAGATTCCAACATGTCTCTCCCGCAAATCCTCATGTGTCTGCTCCTCACCAATAAGAGCATGTTACGCACGTGATGCATGTTACTACCCCTACACTCCTCTACTGAACTATCACTTCAAAGTTTGGCAGAAGATGTCAGCACTGGAGAAATATGGGGAGGAAAGGTGGGACGTGTGAGAAGATGTAAGTACCTATCTGAAATACATTTACAGTACTTACCTCCTCTTACAAGATTAGCTAGAATCCCACATTGATAAGGAGGGAGGGACTGGTGCGAGGGAATGACAGCAGTATCTCCAAAAAGCATCTGAAGGATACTCCAGGAAATGAGAGATTCAGATCAGAAGAGGGGAACTGCACCACTTCTGAGCCAGATATACTCTTCACCCAACTGTGGAATGTGAAGATATAAGAGTGGAAAATGAGAGGAGCAGATCTGAGTGGAAGAGAATGTGGCAGAAAAGTGATCCTAACCATATAAATATACTGTAACTCAATCCCACAATGAGAATGGTGGGTAAACAAAGGATGCATCCCTAGGTGTTGAGTAGCTAGAACATGGCAGACCATACTTGGTAGGTCAAATACATCCAAAACCTGCAATATATCAACATCCACAATGAGGATCATACTGTCTTCACCTCAGACCCAAGAACCGGGGAATTGAGAACCACTCTAATTCCCAGGTATAACATGAGGATTAGCTCTGAGCTATCAATCTGGAAACTTGACATCTGGTATAGAAAGGATGCCTATAGCATGCAATCAACTCTCCCAACCGAGAAACAGGCCGGGACCATCCAAATAGCAATACCATCCCTGTAAGAAGAGAGAATGAGGGATAGCCAATGACAGGACTAGAACAATCCCATGTACCACCACTTTTACCCACAATACAGATGGAGGAAATCAAGGGAGGAAGATAGACAACCCAAAACCTGTGTGAGGACTTATGTTAATTGGTTCACTCTAACTCCAAAACCTGCCTGCAGAGTACAGACATTCACAAGAGGGTAGGGTGAGGGCTCCCAATCTCCCAATCAAAGGAGGAACTGAATTCTGACATCTCACTCCATTGTCATTGGTTATCGCAAATAGGAGGATATCACATTATCTACACCCGCAGAACACCACTTCCCCACTCTGTAACTGAATGGTTATTGTGTAGAACTCATTCAGCAGGGTGCCTCTATGGTCAACCACCCCAGCAATAATAAAAAATTATCAGTTAGAGTGACACCAGAGTCTGAAGAATGGCCTCGGGTGGTAGACAAAACCTTGACGAAGAGGAAACCGCGATATGATGGTGACAGTGGGAGGTGAATGTATTGGGACTGGTCCACATGCCAGACTGCAGAATCTCCTCCATCGGACGATGAAGATGAGAAGCGAAGGAAAAAGTGAGATGTCAGATCTGATGGGAGGACAACTGGAACAAATTCCAGGAGGAAGAAGGTAGGGAGGAATAGGCCAATTGAACCAAAAGACAGACCCAATTGGTAAGGGTAAAAAGTGAAACATCATGAAGAGAGGAGAATTGTCAGGGGATAAAGAATTGGAAACATGTACCTCAGAATGAAGCAGTATGTGCAAGATAACAACAAAGAGCTCTGACTGGGCACAGAAGCCTATCCGGATCCAGTCAAGGATAAATATGGGAAATGGAAGGAAGGGAAATGAGAGAAAAGATGAACCACCCTCCCAAGCTGTAGAGGTCTTCAGAAGAAAGGAATGATTTGGATAAATGAGAAGATATGTAAGGTGATAAAGTGCACATGAAATGCCCACAGCAAACAAATCAAACCACTGAAATCCACAGGCTAAGAGAAGAAGGAAACATGTTTTAAAGGAAAGATGAAACATGGAACATGAGGAAAGTGGTTCAAATGGAGGTAAAGTAAGGGAATGGAGGACTACATTAAAATCTCAGTCCGGAAGGGTAGTTCACCTGGGAGGGTGATGTATCTGAAAGGAATGCATGAGCATGGTAAGGACAGGGGAAGTATAAACTCTACAGTATTGGGAAAAACAAAAGGTATGGGATAAGGCCACCTGACATCACAAAAGAGAGGAAAATGAAGACCCCTGGTCAAAGAGCCACATGAGAAATTCTGGACCAGTATCTGCTGGGTAGTCATCGGTACTGGTGGTGATAGGAGGTGCATCATCAAGGAAAGCAATGAGAAGTACCCTGAGTAGAAGGGAAAGGGAAGGACGGGAAATAGTAATTGCAAGCAAATGAGACTCTGACTGAGAAAAACGGGCTATGATATTTTTAAGGGTGGATTCTTGTTGGACCGATGTCACCCAAGGCTCTGGAGTTTCTAGGACTGTATCAAAAATGTAATGCCTTAGAAATGGCACCACACGTAAATCTCTAAGATATGTCGAGGGTAAACAGACCGAGGCAATATAGTATCATGATCTCTAAGGTCCTAACAACAAAGAAACCATGTATGTAATACCAAAGCTGAAGACAATATGTGGGGTGAAGTGGAGGAGAGAAGGGCATAGGTATCTCCAGAAAACCCCTCGAGATATCTCTGGAGAGCCTCAGATAAGAGGTGTATGGAAGAAAGTTAAAATTTTCAGTTTATCTATATATTACTAAAACTCTGAGATTGTTTGTTTGTTTGTGTGCTTGTCTGTAATTAAATACAGCAAAAATGACACACAATAGCGCCATATTTGTAATGAAATGAGAATAGAAACAGAATAAAACAAGTTTCGTTAAAATCAGGCCAGGGGTTACCGAGTTAGCGCCATTTTTAGGATCATTTTTCATACATTCCATTATTATAAAACTTCGTTTTCCACCTGATGAATCACTTTAAAATATCTTCTGTTATAATGGTGTGTAGAAAGAACAACAATAAAATGGACCTACAATATTATTGACTATTTGCAAATAGTAACTATGAAGACGAGGTAATAAAATAAAAATCAAGTTGAGAACAACAACAAAATTTTATAAACGAAAACCTCTCGCCGAACATTGGCTATTATATTATTTCCCTGTCAATGTTCCCATCTTCATTAAAAGGCGTAAGATGACAAAAACAAGATCTTGAAGAATCTATCTATATACTACTAAAACTCTGAGATTGTTTGTTTATTTGCTTAGTTTCTCAGTCAAAAATCATTCACACTACCGTTCGCGATCTTTACAAAACTTCTTACTTCACTTTTTGAAAATCGAAATGGTCTTTCCTTTTACTCCCAATCAGCAATCAAATATCTTTTCTTGAATTATGAATAACACAAATGGATTGAAATATTTAATTAAATTATCTCAAAATAAACCTTTATTTCGGTGCAATCTTGAAATTAGCTTGAATTCTTCATAACCTCTCAATAGTGGTTGACCCAACGGGTCACGGTGGTCTAGTTTCCAATAATACTTACCTCAGCTGACACTATAGCTATTTCTTGATCTCCGGGGTTTCCACTCTTTGCCCATCTAATCATTGAAAACACTTGTTCTAATTTTTTGCACCCCACTTCAATGCCCTTGACAAATTCTAATTTGCAAATTTCTCCACCAACTTAAATGCACCCTTTATCTAAGTACTGTATATAAGCACCTCATTTAGATAATGTAATCAATTTTTCGAAACATAAACTGGTTTTTAGTGGGGAGGTATGGCAGGAGAGTGGAGGCAGGTATTATTGGAAATACATTTTCAGTTTAGGAAAATGTTAGCTTCCAAAACATACTTACATCTGCTGACACTACAGGTAGAATCCCACATTGA